ATGATTAATCTCCTATATCATAATCAAATGCATACTAATTATAAACAAGATGAAAATATACTAAAAAAATTAGGAAATACTAATATATCAACAACAGATCCTAGCAAAAAAAATTAAATTAATCATATACTACACTAAATCTAGTATTTCCAACTTAATTCTTCGCAATAATTCTTCTCCCCCGGTTAGCGATTTGCAAAAAACCAACATAGTTTATAAATTCAAGTGCTCTTTGGGAGATTGTATCTCCAACAAATTAAATAATGTTTATGTTGGTCACACCACAAACTCACTTTCACGACGCTTGACACTACATTTGAATGAAAACTCTAACATTTTTAGGCATTTAAAACAACATGCCTGCCCGCACACACAATTCCGTAAAATACTTGTCGAAAACAATTATACTTCGACATGAAAACAATAGACAAAAACTAAAAATCCTTGAAGCTTTATACATTAAACAGTTGAAACCCAACCTAAACAAAATCAACTATGGAATCTCTACAAATATACTTAAATATCTGTAGTTGGTGACGGAGGCAATTGGTTTGTGCCAACGGCTTCCCATACTTCATATGTCTCCAATTCACTCTCGCGTGGTCATGTGTGACGTCTTGAGATGCGGTGCGATTTTCGCTTCTAGCGTCTTATATGCACGTGTTTATCGTTGCTTAGAGATCATCTATGTAAACATTCACAGATTGTCCTCACTGTCTTGTCCGTATATTGTTTAATATGTTGTAATTGACATCTTACATTATCAAAATATGTTAACCAACTATAAGGAAATCTCTGTTATTTAAATCTTTTATTGTTCGAATCAATTGGTAATTAACCGATTCCATTCCATTAAATAATATAATAGTGTAAATAAACAATGTAATAAATAGAGTTTATGATTTTTCACTATTTACATTATTCGGACTATTGTCCTCATCTTTGTCGCCATATTTATTACAACGTTTCTGCCGTTGTACGCTCTGGACTTCTTCAGTTAGTTGGAATGTCGAACTGAACCCTTTATTTCGCTTACTGGGGTAGACTGTTCTAGTTCCACGTGCCATGTTTAATGGATGTCAGTTATCAGTTATCTCCTGTTAATTTCCCTCTGAAAGTTCTCCACTGCCTTGACCGGGTATTGAACTCACACTGTTTGGGTCCTTTCACTGGATCTTAGCAACGCCTGTATCCATTGTAGAAAATGTTTGACAAAAAATATATCTCTACGTTTTGAGGTGTATGCGTTCAAATATTCATAAAATTGACCTCACATACACCCTTGTGCAAATGAATTGATACAAGACGAATAATTCCGTTATAATTTACTTATTCGTATTTTTTCAATGAAACATGGCCCAGTGCACATGTTAGTACTTTGTATGTCCATTCTACGAAGTTGTTCCGTGAAAACTGACCACAGATTCTTGATTTGATTTAAATCAGGAGAGTTTCCGTGCCAGTCTATAGTACCTGGATTTTCTCACTTACCAATGTGTCCGTGCAGCGTTACAATTTTCGTACGCTCCCTTGGAGTAACGTCCATCGCAAACAATGGCTGTAGAACAACTAACCGGCAGTCGAAATCTGATGCAATCACGGATATGACCCAATATTTTTTCAAGGCCAAAAAATTTCATCAAACACCCGTAAATAGATTCATATTACTGCATACCTCTGCAAATGATCTAATCCGAAGAAAAAATAGAAATCATTTAAACCCTGTTACTCCAGAGGGTCTAAATCTGACAGAACGGTCAAAGAAATGAAACTAAAGAGGTTGTTTCAATTAATTTACGCAACACTATTGTGGTAAGGGTGACTTCTCGCCGAATTCGAGGTCGGCGACTGAAACGGTCGGATACGCAGGCTCCTGGCCGGAGGCCAGGACGTCGACTACCGGGCTGCGTATTAAGTTACGCCCCCATTTCTTTTTGTCTGCCAACTTAACGATAGTTGGAAACTTTGCCTTCTCTCTCTACTTCACCTCTTACTTCTGGCTCCTTGGCCATGTTCGACTCAAGGCATTATGTCCCTACTGGCTGCCTGCACGTTGTCCATAACCTTTCCCGTACACTACGTTTGTAATTATTACGGGAGGTTTCTATATCGGACTCGACTGGCAGACACGCAACGCCAGCACTGGATTTTTGACATGCCCGAACAACATCGCAACGCAGCTCCTCTTTCCTTCCCGACACGTCAAGTTGACATCCCTACGACGACCAACAGCGATCATCTGAAACGACCAGCAGCGATCATCTGCAACGACCAACATCGACCTCAACTACGACGTTCGGCAGCGATCATCTGCAACGACCAGCAGCGACCATCTGCAACGACCAGCAGCGATCATCTGCAACGACCAACATCAACCTCAAATACGACCAGCAGTGATCATCTGCTACGACCAGCAGCAATCATTTGCAACGACCAACCTCGGCAATCAATGCCTGCACCGGAACGTCAGCATCTCTACCTTTCCGACCACCTTTTTTTTCTTTATTTCTTTCTAGAATAAATTAGCATATATCCTCGTTTTGTCGTCTGTGTTATTTCACCTTGTCATATTTAACGTCTTCGAAATGTTAGCGGGCCTCTTGTGACCTCATCACCTTTTTGCGATACGGGGGCGCTCGGGGGGGGGGGGTCCACTACAGGGTTTTTCGTATTCTTTCATAATATAGATATTCGAGGGACATTTTAGTTATCGCTAAAATACATTTATGTTATGATTTATTTCTATTCAGTAAATAATAAATCCGAATATTAAAAGAAGCCAAAAAATCGTATGAAGTTCACCATGTTTTAATAACGCTGATTTCAAATGTGTGTATAGTGTTTGTGCGTTTGAATGTGTGGGTGTGTTTTTGAAAGAAATTGGAAGAAATCAAGTCGCTGAACGTAATTCCTACTTTACTTCCATACACTGGCCTGTTCGCTGTGTGAAAATCCCAAAGGAAAGGACCACTGCACGACCATTGTAGAGAAATATGGCACAAAGTTGAGTTTAAAGTGGGTTTGAAGCCCACGAATACCTGAACTAAGAACAAAATTACTTAAACTTCTTCGGTATTTTCGTTTAAATGGACGCCTCTGGCCTCCTATAATGACACTAGTCTCGTTCTGAATGTACTGGTTGCTTGAGCACATTACATAATATGGCGCACTTTTGTGAATTAAAACTAGTAAAGATTCTAAGCGAGTAGAGCGTTTTTGAATCGAGTTTTGCTTATATACTTTCGTGAGACTGCTGTAGTTTCAGGTGACTACATATAGCGAAGGGGATAATAATGCCCCAAGCTGGTTTACCTTATTTCTGTAACATTTTGTGTAAAAAATAGAAAAGAAGAAGTTAAGATTAGAAAGTTAAGATTAGGAAGAAAAGAAAAAAAAAGATGTCCTACTATGTAAAAAAGACCTGAGCAGATGTAGCAGCAATATTAAAGGCAAGGACGAATGATAGACTTATAAAATATGTGAGATAGATTCTGGCGAGAAAAACATGTCTAGCATTTCTAGTAGCAGACAATTATAGTGTTTAATATTTTAGTTGTAAATTCGTTAGAGCAAAAAAAAAAAAAAGAAAAGAAAAAGAAAGAAAAAATGTATAAATACACTTTCATCATGTTTACGTTTTATTCAAATTCTAATTATCGCTTTTTAAAACAATAAACATTGTCGAAGAATAGTTAAAATTAAAAGCAGTGCCATGGGAAAAACTGTTCTTTTGACAATAGGTTTTTTGTTTTTTTTTGCGGATACAAAATTCCATTTGGAGGTGGGAAATAATTCATCAAACACAAAGCTACGTAAATTCTTTTTGAACGCTGTCAAGGCTGCAAAGGGATGACTCAGCAGTTCCAGCCCATATATGGTAGCAATACTCCATTTTTGCTCTATACTTGTAAGTAGGCAGACACTTTCTGGTACGATAAAAAGACGCAACCATTTTGCCAGCATCTTTAACGTTTGATCGGACATATCTGTTGCACTTGCAGTGGTTTCCAAACTTTCTCCTCTAGACCACCTTTTCGAAATTAAAACTTACTCGCGCCTCACCAAATTTCATGTGATACAAAGTACATGTAAACATAAAAAATAAAAACAAAGAGAAGGTTAAAGGGAGATAACCGTGTATTCGAAGTCAGAACATTATTATTGATAACTCTCTCCTCCAATTTGCAGACCCTAGTTACTATATTCTTAATACTTGATATAATGCAAAATCTCACAATGATAAAACCGGTCAATAATTCTTTATAACTATTTATACTGGGACTCATGCATGTAATTTTCATTGATAACTCTCTCCTCCAATTTGCAGAACCTAGTTACTATATTCTTAATACTGGATATAATACAAAAATATCATAATGACAAAATCGGTCAATAGTTATTTATAACTATTTATACGGGGACTCATGCCTGCCATTACAAGTAATCCATAAATACATTTTAAAATTTTGAAATCGAATTTGTTTTTGGCATATGAACTTTTTGAAACTCTTTGTAAGTATTTGATTGTCTTTCACTCAATCCGTCTCAGCTGATATCCTCTTCTGCTGCCCTTATGAGCCGCGCTGCTTCTATGAAACGCGCCGACGCCGTTTGGGTACCCCTATATTAGGACGTGAAGTTTATAAGGATAAAGATTATAAGACTCTTAAGCTTGTATTGACTAGGGAAGCAGATCCATGGGTGTCCATGTCGTAGTTCTTGGTAAAGAAGCTTACTCAGTAGAACTTCCTCCTTCAATTTGTAAAGCCTCTATTCTTAATATTTGATATAATGCAAAAATATCACAGTAATAAAATCGATCAATAATAATTAATAATTATTTATACGGGGACTCATGCATGCAATTACAATCCATAGTAGTTTACGTTTTGAAATCATACCTATTTTTGGCATATGAATTTTTTTAAACTGTTTCTAAATCTTTGATTTCCTTTCAATCACCTGCTATCCTCTTCCGCCTCACCTGCTATCCTCTTCAGCCTCACCTGCTATCCTTTTCCGTCTCACCTGTTATCCTCTTCAGCCTCATCTGCTGTCCTATATCTGCATCACCTGCTATCCTCTTCTGCTTCATCTGCTGTCTTATTTCCACCTCATCTGCTATCCTCTTCTGCCTCATCTGCTGTCCTATTTCTGCATCACCGGCTATCCGTTTCCGCCTCACCTTCTCTCCTCTTCCGCCTCACTTGCTATACTCTTTCGGCTCGCCTGCTATATCCTCTACCGCCTCACCTGCTATCCTCTTCCGCGTCACCTGCTATCCTCTACCGCCTCACCTGTTATCCTCTTCCGCCTCACCTGCTATCCCCTTCCTCCTCACCTACTATCCTCTACCGCCTCACCTGTTATCCTCTTCCGCCGCACTTGCTATCCTCTTCCGCCTCACTTGATATCCCCTTCCGCCTCACCTGCAATTCCCTACCGCCGCACCTGCTATCCTCTTCCGCCTCACCTGCTATCCCCTTCCGCCTCACCTGCAATCCTCTACCGCCGCACCTATGCGGCGCGCCCCACCGTTTGGGGAACACTGACTTAAGGTTAGAGTAAACTTGAGTATCATTGTACGTTCAAAACACAGACCCTCATTAGCAGTACAACCATTGATCATAATAAGAGTAAATTCAGTGTCTGTTCGGTGAAGATAGGATTTTGAAAGCGTTTTTGTGGAACTAGTGAATGTTACAAGCCAGTTTTTCACCCATTGAGCTGTTTCAGACGATTCCTTCTCTAGCCTAGGTAAACAATCCGTATAGTAAGAGGCGTAGCTGCTTCTTAGTGCAACATATAACTCGGACCAGATGTTTCCATCATAGACTATGCATTCAATGTTACACCGGAGCTTCAGAGAAGCCTGGTGCATCAGCAGGTTAACCTGAAGTATTACCTGAACTTAACCTGCTAGCAAAATGTTACAGATCTGCGCTTCGCCTAATGTCAGTGACGTGTAAACACATGGTTGTCCCAGGTAGACTTAGAATGTGCATACATGGGAACAAAACCGCATGACAGGTCGATATATAAACGGCCACTTGATAAAAATGGATCTCTCACGTCTTGGCGAGAATATAGAATCCACGGTCGGAGAAGACCCCGAGATACACATATCGATTCGTTGGCGTTAGCTGTCAAAAGGAGTTCTCGTGTATTTTATTTCTCTATTTGATGAACAAAGAAATATACTTTTGTACTTATTTGATGCTGACATTTCGTAGCTCGTGTTTTGAGCTTCTTCTGGTTAGCAGTGATAGCTTTTGTTTTTGTCACCGATTAATAGAAAATCTAGCAGGTAGTAGCGAGTTATATAACACCATTGTGCTCTTTGAACGACCTGATGGAACAGCGAAAAACAATAGAAAACATATAACTATAAGAAATATAGCGTATACGATAAATTTTAGAATATATATATATATATATATATATATATATATATATATATATATATATATATAAATGGCCACTTCTATTCGAAGATACCCGTCTGCTAGGGTGGCTAACCAATCCCTATGGCAGACGCTTGCTCAGGAGCATTTGTGTTTATTTAACACCCACAGAGCCTACCTGTAGTTTCTACGGCAACTATGCTGAGCATATCATAGTTACAGTTCCTGGGAAAGAGCGTGATATTATAGCGAGATCAACAATTTGAACAAGACCAGCACACTTAAACTCCCGGCCACAGTGACTTGTGACTTCGTGCTAGCACAACTATCGACGGTTCCCAAGGGTTCCATCTCCCCAATTTCATTGATATTAGGAAAATATGCGTTAGAATAAGAAACGACTTCCCTTTCAAAGTTACTCATTTTCTGCTGACATGAAGTGGAAAGATGATATGGAGTCCATTGCTAGCTCTGCGGATAGGAAACTTGATTCTCTGTCCCGTGCAAGAAAACATTTTCTCGACAGTATCGATGTTACACATCTATAAATCTATTATAAGAATATTATAAGTCTACCATTCGTACCTCCTTTGAATATTGTTGCCACGCTTGGTTTTGTGATCCTGCTATATATTTAGAGATTCGTAATAAAATCTAAAGAATCTGCAATGTTATTGGTCTTGATCAAGCATCTCAACTTCAACCACTTTCCTACCGACGTAATGTAGCTTTTATGTCCGATAATGGAACACAATTTAATTCTAGGGGGTTTAAAAGATTCTGCAGAAAAGACGCTTTTGAACATTTGACAACGCCGATTTATCATCTAAGGTTGAAGGGTCAAGCTTGACACCTTCAAAAGGGCATTAAGAAAAGCTAAACGTATTGGAAGCTGAAGAAACAGCACTACAAAAATTTTTGAGCGTGTATCGAATAATGTCAAATGCAAAAGTCACCGCGAAAATGTCACCTGCAGAGCTCATGTTTGCGAGGAAAGTTAGATTCATTTTTGACAAATTACTACCAGGAAATAAGAAAGCTCAACAATTTCAAACTAGCAGATCATTTAAGATCTGTGATAAAGTTTTCTTTAAAAGCCAGCCGGAAAAGGAAAATTGTCAGGAAGGAAAAATTATTCAACGCTTTGGTAGTATGATGTACATTGTCGAAGGTGGTTGATTTCGTTGTAAGAGACATATAAATTAACTGAGGTCTGGATATGTACAGAATAAGCAACCAGCACAATTTAATTCACTGATGGACATATCTTGGAAGTCAATCAGTTATGTGCCAGGCGTGATACACGCCTAGGCGATCATGTATCTTTCGATACATGACTGACAAGGCAGATTTTTCCCTGCATTATTTCTTTCTGCGGTAGACCAGTTGCCACTCAAGGCTAGAGAACCCGGTCTGTCCTGAGGGTAATAGTACGTAAGTGAATGTAATGGATTCGATTGGAATTCGAATTCGGATCTCCGATTCAGTTATATATCATATGTGATATACGCTTAGGCGATCATGACTGACGAGGTAGAGTTTTCTCGCAATAGGTTGCCATTTCTTTCTGCGGTAGATCAGTTGCCACCCAAGGCTAGAGAACCCGGTCTGTCCTGAGGGTAATAGTACGTAAGTGAATGTAATGGATTCGATTGGAATTCGAACTCGGATCTCCGATTCAGTTATATATCATATGTGATATACGCTTAGGCGATCATGACTGACGAGGTAGAGTTTTCTCGCAATAGGTTGCCATTTCTTTCTGCGGTAGATCAGTTGCCATCCAAGGTTGTAGAACCCGATCTGTCCTGCTATTTACCCATAACTGGGGGGAGAAGAAGAGGATTCATACTTTTCTCAAGAGTATTAGCACCTCTCTCCAAATTTTTGTTCCGATCGGACAATGTATGGCTATTTTAGAGGGTGCGATGGACAGACTAACTGAAGTCAAAGAATTTTATATATAGATAACTTTTACAATAATCAGTAATGTCGGATTTAAAAGCTAGTAATTACGTAATTTAGCATATAATTATATGATTTAGCATTCGGTTACAAAATAAACTTTATTTCAGATATATACTTTCAAAGGCCCACCGAATGATGTACCTTTCTTAAATAGGGTAAAAGAAATTACATACATGCATACACACACACACACACACACACACACACACACACATATATATATATATATATATATATATATATATATATATAGATAGATAGATAGATAGATAGATAGACAGATTTGAACTCCAAAGTGGTTTTCGATTTTCTGAAGACTTTTAAACAATCTCCTCTAACAGAGAGATTAAGAAAAAATGCTTGATATAAATATTAAAAGAAAATGTTTACGGAAAGCCGTCTCCGCAGCTGTCCATGTACAATGAATATGGCAACAAAGAAATGCAATATTTTAAACTATGAAATAATTTTAACAAGAGTATATAGATTCGTTTATCATCCGACTCTCACTCTTCTCCAGTTTTTTATGCATCCTGGGTATGACGATAAACTGCAACCGCGTCCTGGGTATGACGATAAACTACGTCTGCGTCCTGGGTATGACGATAAACTGCATCCGCGTCCTGGGTATGACGATAAACTACGTCTGCGTCCTGGGTATGACGATAAACTGCATCCGCGTCCTGGGTATGACGATAAACTACGTCTGCGTCCTGGGTATGACGATAAACTGCATCCGCGTCCTGGGCATGACGATAAACTACGTCCGCGTACTGGGTATGACGATAAACTACATCCGTGTCCTGGGTATAACGATAAACAACGTCCGCGTCCTGGGTATGACGGTAAACTACATCCACGTCCTGTGTAAGACGATAAACTACATCCGCGTCCTGGGTAAGACTATAAACTACATCCGAGACCTGGGTAAGACGATAAACTACATCCGAGACATGGGTAAGACGATAAACTACATCCGCGTCCTGGGTAAGACAATAAACTACATCCGCGTCCTGGGTATGACCTTAACCTACATCCACGTCCTGGTTATGACGATAAACTACGTCCAACAACAAGGCTTTAGATAAAGTTTTCGGAAAAATAATGTTGCCAGCTATACTTTTTTTGGAAAAAAATAATGTTGCCAGCTATGCGTTTTTGAAACAATGTTACCAGCTATATGTTTAAGAGTAATGTATATTTAATATATGTATAGGTATATGTGTATGTATATATATATATATATATATATATACATGAATTATTCATACAAAACTAATGCAAAGGTTAATGATTTAAATGGCAAGACATCCATCTTGCAAACGATTCAAATAGTACAAAAAACCTCTAAATCCGTTATGCATGAGTTGATCCTTGTTTATATAAATTTCTGCCGTATTAGTTGTTATTTTTACTACAAGCTTTCGTCTGTTCCTACAGACATCGTCAAGGTATATAATAGATGTTGTTCTTGGTTTTTCTCTTAGTAATAAGAGGACATCAAAATATATGTGTATTGTATCCGAAATGCTATTAAAAAATGAGTTATTGGTTTTTTTAACGCGCCAAAGCAACGCTGAGTTTGATTTTGAATTTTTTAAAATGTCTGCGTCTATACCAAATATGGTAATGAACAAATGTTTTTTACTGGTAAATTTTTTTACTGTCAAAGTGGCATGAACTATATTGTTCAATAATTACAGTAATGTCGCACTTATTAACCAAAAGTCGCACATGGATCAGATATTTAAATTACAATAAACGTGCAATCAATTTACAAATACATGAATTATTCATACAAAACTGATGCAAGGTTAATGATTTTAAATGGCAAGACATCCATCTTGCAAACGATTCAAATAGTACACAAAAACCTCTAAATCCGTTATGCATGAATCCTTGTTTATATAAATTTCTGCCGTATTAGTTGTTATTTTTACTACAAGCTTTCGTCTGTTCCTACAGACATCGTCAAATATATAATAGATGTTGTTCTTGGTTTTCTCTTAGTAATAAGAGGACATCAAAATATATGTGTA